GCATGTTTCAGTCATGTTATTGCTATGTTGTAATTGATAATTCCAACAGGTTTTCTGTCACTGACAAGCTACAGTGATTCAGGTGTCTAATGCTGAATTCCGATGCTTTCCGATGAGTAGCTTTCCGATTTCCCATACAAACAGCGTGAAGATTACGGGGGCGTGTACTGATTGAGACACGCAATATAAACTCTCCACCAGATATTGTGGGACATAGGAGAAAGCTTTACACACCAACCTCAGCACAAAATTTCGATATATGTGGCACTGTAGATAATCCCAAATTTTCGTTATACCAGACAAGCTCCTAGCAAGCTTCGAATCTGATTCAATTTCAGAAATGTTAAAATATTCTATGTTCAAGGACTTTTATTTTCCACCTGAATATTCATATTCGATTAGAAACTTTCATTATTTGTACACCTTTGTGAAAGATGTGCACAGTTTGTCACACACTGATACATGCAGCATCACCATTTAATGAACTGTCATGTTTCTATGACCTACAGCTATTCGTGCAGCTGCATGCGATGTTCTAACAATGTGGGCAAGTTTAGATAGAGGCACTGTGAATAAGATGAGTGGGATTGCTTGTAGGAAATGTCTCAAGGACGCATCTCCTTCTCCAGACATAAAAACACATCTATTAACTGGTGGGTTATTATAACACTTGGAATAGCATTTTCTGCCTTGCCAAAAATATATATACAACTCTAACATTGAAAGAAGCACAGATATGACACACTTGTCCAGTTTTCAGGCTTCACACTGCCATTATTTATGGGAAGGGACAATCAAAAATACCCCCGTTATGCTGTCAAAAATCAAGATGCTCTCTCTAAGCATTTGATGAGAATACTCGTTGAGGCCCAATTTGTAAGGGCTGCAGTCTACTTTCAAGCTAATTTGTAAGCATGTTTATGATGGCCACACACAGCATGTGCCCTCAAGGAGTTTGGAAAGGGTGTTTGCACAGTTAACTTTTAAGGATTTGAGGGAATGCATGTAGAGATATCCCAGGATCATAGGTTGGCAAACTTTGTCAGACTGACTCGGACTGAGCCGTGAATCCGAGTGAATCATATTATAGCGAGCAATTTTGGCAAGTCTGAACCCAAGTGAGCCCTAAGTGAAAGATACCGTATTCACTCGCGTAAAGAATCCCCCCCACCCCTTCGTCCTTGAAAAAAAAATTTTTTAAATGTATCTGTTCATTTTATTTCGGTGTGCTACGAAGTGCTGTTGACGATCGAAACAATTGCAAATTAAGCCATTATATCACAAAATAACGAATAAATTAAAGTCAAAGCATAGTTTCGCAACCATGCTAAACAGTTGGGAGCAGCGCGAACGCGGACAGCGTCAGTCAAAATTCAAAGTTTCACCTTTCGGGGTAAAGCGCCATCTGTGAAATGCAGGAGAAACCTCTTTGCTTATAGTGCCACACAAGCACAGCGGCCTGAGAACAAGTAGAAAAACAAACGCATGGCCTCCGTAATGAAGTGGGCACGTGACGAGTTTCCACTTAGATGCTTTAGTTTCTACGTCACGTGCCCATGATCTAGGAGGCCATACAAAGCACCCACCGCACAGAGCCACCTGACACGGCATTTTTGTAGTCGGGGTTGTCGTAGTGAACTAACTTAGTTGAAGACACCTGCTGCGCAAGGCGCTTTCGGCCGGTACGCTAGCTACATGGCTGGTTTTAAACTTAAAAGTTGGTGGAGTATGTGCTGGAGCATGGAAACAGAGCGGCTGGACGACACTTCAGCGTCGGTCCGTGCGTGTTTGTTACAGGGAAAACAAGAGCTTTGGGCAACACAAAATTTTTCGCACATTTCGGGGGCCAGAACAAGCACAACTACCATGCTAAATTTTCGCTGTTATAACTCCCACGGAATTAACCCTCCACTCAAACTGCCGTCAATTTTTCCGAATAAAAGAAGAATTCATTTTGCGAGTAAATACAGTATATTTCTTGAGCGAGGCTCAGTGGGCTCCACGTTTTCTGCCAACCGGTGGTCCAATCTACTCAACCTTATTTGGCTATAGCGAGTGTACAGGAAAGAACGACGAAGGAAATGACAGGCAACAGGATAAGCACCATCCTCCGGATGAATAGGCTCATCTTGTTTCCTGCAATTTCATTCTTCGCTTTTCTCTTTTTCCTTCAGGTTCAAACTGAGCCATGCTATAACAAAACGAGATTATGATGCACCAACTTGCTCAATGTGCAGTACTTGTCTAGCTACTCAACTTCAGCATTACTATCTGCCTTACGTAAGCGCACATTTATACTCGGGAGATGATTTAGACTCCAACCGAAAGTTTTGAAGGAACCCGACATTCAAGGATCCTTGAAAGCGAGCCGAACTGGAGAAGGTTATTACTCGTGTCGTGGCACATACAGAGGACAGCCCATAACATCAATCGCTCTCTCTGAACCCCTCCCCCAGTGTATACATATGAACTGCACCCTACGGCAAAACGAGAGAGAGAGGAGGTCATTATCCACCCCTCGAGTGCTTTGAAGACGCCGCTGCTGTGTAGTCCCGCAGTCACTCTTGAGGAAGGAACCAAGTCGATTTCGAAACGTCGGGTTTCTTCAAAACTTTTGGTTGGAGTCTAAATCATCTCCCAGTTTTATACCCAACCAGACAGACTTCTGTCAAATGTTTACAATCACATTTATACTCGCGCCTATTCACACGTACTTCAATGCACTAGCCTTCATACGCTAGCTCTGCTCCGTATCTATTGACTGAAGGTGTGAGTTGCGGAGCAGGGGAGTGTCTTGACCATCCCCCACTCTCTTTTCTGGGATGTTTTTGATATCCGTGCCAGTCGTGCTTCTCAGTAAAAATGACCTTGCTAGATTTCAACCACTGATTACTTGCATTTGAAGATATTGAGAACAAAAGGCGCCCGGCAGAGCACCATTTATGAGCGATATTGGGGTTAAAGAGCAGCGACACCATAACTGAAAAAGCTATGTGTATGGTAAAATATGCGCATAAGCCGACTCGTTCAAACCTGTATCAAGCCCCCCCATCCCCCCCTTGCCCTTCTAAGTGCCAGTTCGAGAAAGTCTGGGCTAATAATATTTAGGTATGTTTCAGTTCTAGTCAGCCCCAGTGCAAGATGTATTTCTTGAGTATTTGCGTAATAGGTGCCAATTTGTGAAAATAGCCAACAAATACTCAGCTTGCTTGCCTGTCACCTCTGGGGTGCCCCAAGGTTCTGGATAAGACCCCCCGTTATTTTTGCTTCATGTCAATGATAGTGCTGCTAATGTGGATCCACAGATTGAAGTTCAACTCTCTGCAGAAGACTTTTATTTTGCGGTGTTAAGAGTGCCCATGAACATTGCTAAATGAATCAATAAACTAAATTTACAAGTGGTGTGCAGCATATGACATGCAAATTAACTTCAAAAAATCAGTCTGCATGAGTGTCACAACCACGCAATCACCGTCACAATTAACTTACAAAATCGGAGTACGGAAATTCGGCGAGCAACGAAGATGAAGTACTTAGTTGTTACTATCATGCATAACTTAAGTGGGAGTAAGCATGTTGCCAACATTTGTGGATCAGCTCAGCGAAATCTGGGAATGCTACTACGCAAATCAAAACAGGCATCTCCAGCTGCAAAGCTTAAGGCTTACACTACGGTTGTTCGACCCACCCTAGAGTACGCGTAGTATAGTGCGGGAGCCGTACCGACTAACCCTAATGAATCAGATCGAGCAAGTGCAGAGTCCTGCAGAACGTCATTTTTTCTAAGTACTAAAGGACTAAATCCATCACTGCATTGATTAATCAGGCAAACCTTCCAAGTTTAGCTTCACGCAGAAAATTAGCCAGCCTAAAATTTTGTTATTAACTATATCATGGTATGCTAAACATCGATCCCGGACTCTACCTGCAGCCTCCAGGCAAAGTATCACCTCGATCCTCTCCTTCTTATGTTGCGAGATCCTGCATATTCAGAGCTCATATCTGCAAGCATTCTTTCTTGGTCAAAACGATTGAGAACTGAAATAAGCTAAGCCCGGAAGCATTCGATGGTGTGATTTAGCTCGAGAGTTTTGACGAAAAACTTCAGTCACTGGGTGTATAATATCGAAATTTTCATTATGTATAATTGCAGTGCTGTTGTTTTGTATAAAAATGTTTTAAAGGCTTTGTATACCTTTTTTTTTAGTTTGCATTGTGGTGTTTGTGCTACGCTGTTTGCATTAACTTTTTCTGTATTGTAACAATAGTCCTTTCTCTCTCTCTTTTCTGTATTGTAAACTGTCCCACCCTGTAATAGCTCGATAGGGCTAACAGTATTTAATATAAATATATATAAATAAAGTCTGAGTGAGCTCAGCATTTTTGGCTGACCTATGCCCAGAACAGTCAAGTATACAGTGGAGAAGGAAAGGTTAGGTGAGAGTGCGACACATGATACGGTAAAAAGAACTGGCTGCGAACCAAGATGCAGAAGAGACTGATGAGGTCAGCCTTTCTGAGGCACCACCAGAGTGTGAAGAGTCTTAATTATGTCAAGGTCTATTTTGATTTGTTTACCAAAGGCCAGAGTAGTGCCGGGTGAATGAGTCTGTTTTGTTTTCTGGCTGTTGTGCAGTGGTCTCGATACATACTTCACACTTTGAGCACTTCAAGATTAAAAGTAGCATTCATACCTACTTGTCTTTTACAATTTCACAGTACAGCTACATCTACACAGCTTCAGAAATCCCTTATGTAAGCAACAAGCATTAGAGCGATTGGCAAAACATCAGGCACCCTTGGACTATTCCTAAAAAGCATGTTTTAGCATACCAGTTCACCGTTTTATGCGTACAAGTGACAAGGTGAGTTATCATGGTTTTGCGATGCTATCAGCACTTGTACATGATATTTTGTTACTAAGATCAGAAGGTGTCCTGAGCGGCTGTCGATTAGCATATGCCATTAACCTAACAAGTCAGAATATGACAAATACGTAGTCCAGTATCAGAGTACAAGCATTTATTTCAAGTAAAAGAGTAAAATGAGAATGCAAGTGTGAGTGTTCCTACACCCTCTTGCGTGTCCTTCTTGCAGGTGCCACCTGAAATGAAATGTTATGGTTTTACCACTAATTGTCAGGGCTCATAGCAACATTGTGCAGACAAGCAAGAGCAGGTGCACTTTTTAATACCAATAGTTAACCAGAAAATTTTCATAGTTTCTTACAGGGGTGCAACAGCTGAAACAGAACTTGGACCAATTTTCGGAGCAGAAAAATGTTACTTTTAGAGCACTAAAACCCAAATTCGGAGCAGTGTACACAAAAAAAAAACAACATTCACTGTTTATCACGAAAAACCAACTTTGGAGAAGTTTGAGAAAGAAGGCTGAAATTAAAAAAATATATATATATACATATATAGGGAAAGAAGTATTTTTGACACAATATTAATGAGATATAACAGACACTAATGCCATGATACACACACACACGCACAAGCCAAAGTCCTCCTTTCCTTTTTTTCGTGAAGAGGTTAGGTTTAGGGCAAAACTTTTCGGCTCGCTTGCAAGGCGCGTTTGTCCAAATAAAGTAACAAGAACACACACTTGTTGGTTTGGCGACGACACCGAATATCTTTCACATGTTGCGTTGCTATGGCAGCTAATGTGGTCAAGACATGAACTAAAGCTGGAAGTGTACAAGCTTGACGCACTGCGAGCTTATACGCTTTCAGCTTTAGTTCCTAATGGTTCTTAACATGCCATGGCCGGGCTTGCTGACTAAAAAATTCATATTTCCCGCGAAGTTTTGCTAGCTGTAGCAACACATTTTTGTCTTGAAGTTGCATCATTCCGCCGGTAAACATCTGCTTATTTCACCTGGTCGATCGCGTTTCGCGAGTGTCTTGGTCTAATGAGCACCTATCTTACACTACGGTTTAGAGTCAGGGTCTGCCTGCATAGATTGATGACGCAAACTACAGGTGGCCAAAGTAGCCTTCATTTCTCGCAAAAATCAAGGCAACTGGCGCAGCGTGGCACAATTTTGGCACATTTCATGGTTTTGGTGCAGCTCGACGCACAAATGAGGAATTGTATAAAATTAGTGCAGCTGTTGCACCCCTGTTCTTATCATTTCTCTACAAGTTACAGTAACCATCAGAAAGCTGGTTTACTTAGTGATTCACCTCACAATTTAGACACAAAAAAAGGGGGGAGAGAGAGAGAGACAGGTTCATTTTAAAACAGTGTACTAAAGATTCAAGTTCCTGAAGCTTTCCCTTCAACTTGTCACCATTTCTGCCTTTTGCTGCTTTTCTAGACCTGTTCAACCGGACAATTAGGGTCATGTCATTTTGTTGTGTTTACCTGCTCAGCATAGCTACTAACACAAGCAGTCTAATTGGAAACTGTTACTTTGAACTATTTTTTTCTCTTGACATCATGTATTTTATCTTTAATGTGACTTTTCTATGACACATTTGCATGCTTGGTGAAATTTCTCTTTTTTTTTTTATCCTCCACATAAGCACGGTAATGGTTGTGTGCGGCTGACCAAGATCTATCCAAACCCTAAGTTATGTATTCGAAATTTGCAACTGCCATAAAATCTCAAGCAGCCTCCTCCCTTCTTCGGGAGATTTCAAACATGTGGGCTCACCTCCCTACGGCTATTTTCAGTTTCATAGAATAAATTTTTATTCACTCTTGTCGCGCAAATGAGGAAAAGAAAAAACACCAATGAATACATGTGCATTAAATAAAGCATTTCATTAGAAGCACAGGTGGACATTTATTACTCTAAGTGACTTTTCCACGGCCATCTTGAATTTTGATCCATGACCCGATCGAGGGCCCCCCTCTCTAATAAATCTTTCAAATTATCCTTCACCACATGAGACACTTGCTCGGGATTTCACTGTAGCCTTACCATGTCTCTCACAGTGAATGCAGGATTAGCTTTGGCTAGTGCTGCTGCTGTAACAATGCTACTGCATTGTGGCCAGAGAAATAGACAAGCATGAATGCCTTGATGGCTGGAGTATGCAGTTGCTAGTCATTCAAGAGCATAGTGAGAGCTAGAAGAAAGGTGGTTCAAGACCCACGCCATTCTTTGAACTTTCTTAACTTGTATGAGTAAGTAACAAACACGCACTTTTGTACAACATAAAACATTTGAAAATTCCCCACACCCACCCACACACATACATGCACATACAGACAAAACAATATACTGGTTACACCAAAGTTCATGGAAATATTACTTCTCTGGTTCAGAGCGAAAGGTAATATATACCTAATAATTTTCAAACAAATTTCAATAACAGCAGGATGCAAGCTAAAGCCATAAAATAGGTTTAGCTGCTTTTGCAAGCAAGCCTTCACATGCTTAAAAAATAAATGTTCTTGTACATGCACTACCTTCTCACCTTTTCAGGTTGCCCGCTCTTTAATGCCTTAGCGGAAGAGCCCTCCTCGTCAACTGCACGAAAAAGCCCAAGAATGAAGTGAACGACATTTAGCCCAACATCGTGTGCACTTTTTTGTACAAATTGTATGGTTCAAGGGCATTACAGCATGCAGCCAAATCTTTGCCTGACATCAGGTATCATGCATTTATCCACCTAATCAGATGCAATTATTTGCTGATGATTTCATAGCTTACAAAACAATAAATAGCAGGGACGACCAAATAGAATTAAACAATTCCTTAGCTTCTACACAAAACTGGTGCAACAAATGGGGAATGAAACTAAACGCAACTAAAACAGCTAGTATTTCCTTTACACATAAAAGGAAACCTCCTCAGTATCAGTACACCATCAATAACGTCCCGTTGCAAAAGTGCGACGAAGTATCTCGGTGTCACTTTTACAACAAAATTAAACTGGGAATGTCATATAAATGATGTATGTCAAAAGACTCCAAGCAAACTGCATTTTTTAGAAAAAAACTAAAAAATACACCTTCCAGTGTTAAACTAAATGCGTATAAAACGCTCATTACCAGCTTTAGAGTATGCGGACATAGTATGGGCTCCACACCACAAATATTTAACCGATAAATTAGAATGCATACAGAAACTAGCATTGCGGTTTATATTGCTACGTGCCAGTGCATGGAGTTGAAGAAGACAAAGCAGATAGACTGGCGCGAGCTAATTTGTGTGGCTGGCGCTGCTCGCTTAACCGGCTGAAAATACATCGGTGACTGCCTCTCCGAGTCGTTCTCCAACTCTTAATATATTTGGTGGAGTTGTGCGATCCCCGTCCTTGCCACGGAACTCCGAAGTGGACGCTCCCTCGCGGCTTTCATCATGACCACTCAAGACTCGGCTACATTCTCTCCAGTCGCCCGCCCTTCTGCCTGGCCTGTCACCCAGCGCATGCAACAACTTTCGTGGCGCTTCCCGCGCTCAAAGACCCCGGCGTGTTCTCGGGCCCCGAGGGTTCCGACGTCGACCAATGGCTACGCCTCTACAAATGCGTCAGCACCACTTACAGGTGGGATCCCACTCTTATGCTCGCAAACGTCATCTTTTACTTCGACGGAACCCCTCATGTTTGGTTTGACAACCACGAGCATAACATAACAAGCTGGGACAGCTTCAAGGAAAAGATCCGTGAGCTTTTTGGCAACACCTCTGGTCGTCGTGAAGCTGCGAAAAATTAGTTGTCAACTCGCGCACAATCTTCCGCGGAGCCCTACATCGGTTACATTCAGGCTGTCCTCTCACTATGCCGCCAAGCTGACGAAAAGATGTCCGAGCCTGAAAAAGTTGCACATATCCTAAAGGGTATCGCCGACGATGCGTTCAACCTGTTGGTGTTCAACAATGTGTCATCTATTGATGTGATCATTCAAGAATGCCGCCGGTTCAAACAAGCTAAAAGCACGCGCATCTCCCATCAGTTCCAGCGCCTTCCGAACACCACTGCGACGTCCCCGTGTCTCGATACATATCATCCACCAGACACCTGTGACAACTTGACATGACTCGTCAGGCGGGAACTTGAAGCGGCTGCTCCTGCTAAGGTGGGACCAACGTCCCCTGACCCCTCTCCTCCAATTACGTTGCCTCTCATTCAAGCAGTCGTCCGGCAAGAAATCGCCAGCTTGAAAATTCACTCTATCTCACCGCCTCCCCCCACCGACGACCAGCCCCAATACACGCCTGCACGTCCCTTCCCGACCGGCTCTCCCTCAAGGTTCCGTAATTCGTCCGCATGGCGAACACACGATGACAAGCCGATCTACTTCTCGTGTCACAGAATCGGGCACATTTCTCGCCATTGCAGAAGTCGCTGGGGTCCTCCTGCACAACCATCCTCTCGTCCCTTCTATGCACGTCCTGCCTATCGCCATGAGACCAGCCGCGACCATTTTGCCCAGGAACCTGCTACTGACTACCGCTACTCCCACTCCCCATCCCCTCAACGTCGCCAGTCTCATTCTCCACAGCCCTGCCGACCGTCTTCCCCCGCCTTCCCACGAGGTTCCCCGACGAAAAACTAAGTGGTGCAGTCCTCGGAGGTGGCGCTGCATCGCTCGGACTCCCCCGGAGGTGGCGCTGCATCGCTTGGACTGACCGAAAATCCTCTCTCGACCACACCGACAAAACGGAACCTTATAGACGTACAAGAAGATGGCGTACATGTCACTGCTGTTGTCGACACCGGCGCTCAACTCTCGGTGATGACGAGTGATTTTCGCCGCAAGCTCAAGAAGGTTCTCACACCTGCGACCACTCAGTTCATCCGTGTTGCGGATGGCGGGATAGCATGTATCGTTGGAATGTGCTCCGCTCGTATGAGCATTGCGGATCGACACACAGTTGTTCTCTTCACCGTTTTTGATAAATGCCCCCACGACGTAATCTTAGGCCTCGACTTTCTGTTCGCGCATTCTGCCCTCATAGAGTGTTCGACCAGTACGCTCCGTCTACACTTGCCCGCAACAGAACCTCTTGCACAACGACCGAGTCGCCTCTGCACAACGGGACACGCGCGCCTCCCTCTGCAGACACTGACCTACATAGAGCTCGTCTCAATGCCATCAGTTCCCAACGGTGACTATGTTCTAACCCCTATAACGGATGTCCTGATAAACCGGGGCATTACATTACGACACAACATTCTGTCCGTCGCAGTAAATTCTACGTGCCTCCCACTTGTCAACTTTAGCTTGGCACCTCAAGTGCTGCCACAAGGGATCTCTTTGGCGTTGCTCTGCCTCTTAAAGACGATGCAGATAGACTAACGCGAGCTAATCTGTGTGGCTGGCGCTGCTCGCTTAACCGGCTGAAAATACATCGATGACTACCCCTCTGAGTCATTGTCCTTCTCGTAACAATATCTTCAAAGTATTCACGACAAACATTCATAACGAACTTGAGGGTCAAGGCTGATATCCAACTACTTGTACAACACAGACTGGTTTCTAGACTAAATTTTTATACCTCCTTTATCGGGGATCTTATCGAATACCCCAAGCGACATACATTCATACGCCATTCAGGCATCCAACTCAGACGAATCATAATAAAACAATACGTCAACAACCCTGACATAATAACACTTTCAAATATTCTTTATTTCCACACACCATTTCTCGTTGGAATGCACTGCCTGCTGATGTTGTAAACTGCTCAACTGTCGAATTCATTAGCAGCGTTCAGAATTTAGATTTAAAATGGTTGAAGAATTGGTATCATTAGTATTCCATAAGCAACCCCTTCAGCATGCACAGTTATTACAATTTTGTTTGCTGTTTGTATGTACCTTGTTTACTACATAATGATCATATTCCTTGTCATTTGCATGTGCTAATACTTATTGCTCTGTATAGATGTTTTTTTTTTCTTTTTTCAACACACTCCTGCATGGGCCCAAGAAGGGCTTGGAGTATTGTGAAATGAATAAATAAATAAATGTCAGTTTAATTGGAAGTTCAACAAAAAGAACAGTGTGGTGTCCAAGTCAGCGTACGGCGAGAGCGGCACTGTCGAAGCAGCCAGTCCAGACAATTGGAGCAGCAGCAGGCTCACCAAGTTGCGCGAAAGTTGCAGCTGACAGCGACATTTTCAACCTCAACGAGGCAGCACTTCATTATAAAATGTTGTCGAGTCGCATTTTCACACCGAAAGGTGGCACGTGCTCAGGAGTGAAACAACAGAAGGACAGGGTCACTGTCCTTTTAGATGCAAATGCCACAGGTGAAGAGAAGCTGCCATTACTTATAATTTGCAAACCTCTTAAGCCTAGGTGCTTTAGAAATGCACAACTGCCGAATGGCGTTATCTATTGCGCGAATAGAGCTGTGTGGATGACTGCTATTCTTTTCGAAGAGTACATTTGCGCTATAGATAACAAGATGGCCAAAAAAAAACTGAAAAATCCTGCTTATTGTCAACAACTGCCCAGGCAACAGCAAAATAAAGAATTTCGAGGCAGTGACAGTAGAGTTTCTGCCTGCAACTATGACGTCTGTGCTGCAGCTGATGGACCAAGGTGTCATCGAAGTGGTCCGAAAAAAATTACCGCAAGAGCCTTCTCCACAGAATTTTGGTGTCTTATGAAAAGGGCAATGGCAGCTGGGAGCAGCACACCTTCTCAGCAGCACTTGCCAGCAAGTTCGTGCAATGGCTATCACTAACTGCTTTGCACACGCTGGGTTTTCACATGCCGCCAGTTTGCCACAAGCAGAGACAAAAGACACAGATAACTTCACAGACTATTTGTCAAGAGGTAGTCAAGAGCCATCTCCACAGAATTTTGGTGTCTTATGAAAAGGGCAATGGCAGCTGGGAGCAGCACACCTTCTCAGCAGCATTTGCCAGCAAGTTCGTGCAATGGCTTTCACTAACTGCTTTGCACACGCTGAGTTTTCACATGCCGCGAGTTTACCAGAAGCAGAGACAAAAGACATAGATAACTTCACAGACTGTTTGTCAAGAGGTAGTCAAGTCAAGTACCGGTGCCGCTAGAAATGGCGCGACTTTTCTGGAGTACATGCTGCGTGAGTAGGATGTGGCGGTGACCAGAAAAATGACAGACGCCGAAATTATTGAAACGCCACTAACGTAGAGGACGGCGAAGACGAAGACGAACCACCTTGAGAGGTGCTGACATCTTCTGAGACAAGAAATTTGCTGCGCTTGCTTCGAAATAAGGTCGAGTGCAACGGCAAGGAAGATCGACTGATGCAATGTGTCAGGCAGCAGGAGGACGCCTTCCTAAGCCTAAGTACAACCGCAAAGCAGATGAGCATTAGGAAGCATTTCTCTGCTAAATAAAATGGGAGTGCAGTAAATACCAACCAGTTAAAGTCTCTTGTATGTTGTTTTTTTTTTCTCTCTTTTAAACCTGCACAAGAAGAAAGATTAAAAACTGCCGCTGAAGAGCCGGTAAGTAGTAGTGATTTTTCTGAAAAGCGCTCATTTTTCCCGGGGATCAGCACAACTTTAGCCTCGAAAATCCATTTATCTCGAAATTTCCCCTGGTTTTTACGACTTATTAACAAGGTATTAATGTATGGCCATACAACCCCATAACCGAGCTGTTAAGACACAGTTTCTACAAGCCTTGCCAAATGAAATATGTTACCAGCAGATTCGGTTGGCCACAAGACTGCGGATTCATTCTATAAAGGCCTGTACCCCCTGCAATACCGTATTTACTCGATTCTACCGCTCCCTCGATTTTAACGCGCACCCGGTTTCCACGATGGAAAAAAAAAAAAAAGCAAGACATCGACTGCAACGCGCACCCATTTTTCTCGTTGGCCCGCACAATCACACAACTCGAAAAAACGACTCCTTTCGGGAGCGTCTTCCATTTAAATATGAGGTTTAAATATGGGCTTGTGCCCATCCGACGTGTAACAAAGCATTGCCGTCACTGTAGTTTTACCCTGGACCGATATCAGCACGCGAACTTGCTTCGCCCCCTTCTTTTCGACGGTTGTGGTGCCAGGCATGTCAAAGTAAAAAGGTGTCTGATCGCCATTCCCGATTTGCCCAAGCAGGTAGCCGTTGTTGTGCCGCAAGTTTAGGACGAACCTCTGAAAACTGTGAAGGCTGTCATCGTACTCCTCTGGAAACTTTTCGCATATGCCCGTTCGCCTTCGACGGGAAAAGCCTTTCCTCTGCATAAAGTTAGTTAGCCAGCACCTGTTCTCTTTAAACTGGCTCCGCATTAGCCATTTTTCTTAGGCTAACTGCATAGCCCGCACTTGAAGCAGTTCTGCCGTCACGGGTCGCTGTGCCGCTCGCTGCTCAAGCATAAGTTCACCGAGCAGCTCTTCAATTTGCGGAAACCGACCCTGCTGTGGTCCACTGAAGCCTTTGCGTGAAGTGTGGCAGCTTGGGCTAGTTGGTATAGCATGACGATAGTTATAGCGCGAGAACAAAACGACGACACAGCTCGTGTCTTTCTTGTCTCTGTGTCATTTTGATTTCGCGCTATAACTATTGCTTTGCGTGAAGCTTTGCTGTCGACAATCTTCTGCTTTTGTTTCCGCCAGTCCCGCACGCACGTTTCGAAAACTCCGAACGACCGCGATGCGGTCCGATTTCCGTCCGTTTCTGCACTCGCGATGACTTTTCTTTTAAAAGCGGCATCGCGGTGCACTGGAGTTTTTGGAGTCGGCCCTTCCATGCCGTCAACGCTAATGCACTACAAGATGACGAACTCCTCAGCACACGTACGAAGTGCCGCACATGGGAAACACATAGGCAGAAATGGCCGACGCGCCATGCCGACGCACGTAGGGGGCGGCCATTTTAGAAATGCCGATGGCGATAGAATGACCATATTCATTTTTTTTTCGTACTCGATTCTAACGCGCATGCGATTTATGAACTCGCTTAGCCGGAAAAAAGATGCGCGTTAGATTCGAGCAATTACGGTAATGCCCAAGATGGCGCTGCGAGTAATAAATAAAAAAAAAAAACAGTGTTTTACTGCAGACAACATCTTTGCAAGCCTGCTCCAATTTTTTCGCCAGTGTGCTCATATCACCAAAATACCTCAATCTATACTGCGGTTCAAATCTACATATGTTGCCTGCTATCGTCGGCTTTTAGGGTTGAATTTCGATTTCACTAGGCTTGAATTAGCTCGTAAGGAAGTCTAAATCGCGGCGAATGAAAGATATAGATGCAATAAAAATCTTCGTTCCTAATAGTAATAATAATAATACTTGGGGTTTTATGTGCCAGAACTACGATGTGATTATGAGCCACGACGAAGTGGAGGGCTTAGAAAATTTGCAACCATCGGGTGTTCTTTCATGTGCAGCGACATCGCATAGTAATACACGGGCTTTAACCGCCATGGCAGGGATAATCTTTTTCCTGTGTTCATTGCATTTCTTGCTATATTATGTGTCACTCGGTCGTCGGCCACTAGTCCAGCTAAAGTGACGCAGCCTGTTCATGAGAACATGACAAAGCACTGATCAGAAATAAGTTGAACTATCAGTGCGGATAGCTGACTGTGGCTGAATAGAGCCTTGGGAGAAACACCCGCGCTGATAGCTAACACCATAGCCGATGCGGTGGGTGGAAAGGGAACTACCGCTCTCACAGGCAAAGAGGAGCGTTCAGCAGGCTGCACCAAAGGGTGAGATCGAGCGACTGTGGCATAATCACGCCTTCAACAAAAACAAACACATAGTGCATTGTGAATAACTCCCTCCTCTTGACTATTCAACAAAATCACAAAGTTCGCCCACCTGCCGATTCTGACCACCACCACAGGACAATACACACATCAATAACATTAATATTGTTGTCCACATAGCCATAAGTCAATATGATGAAAAGGGATTGGACTGTGTCAAGGTTTTAAAAAAATGCTACTCACCATGTTTACTTTCCACTGCTTTGGCACGTTTTCCTCTGGTCTTCTTTGGAGTAACCTCTACAGTGGCATGGTCAATGACAACGCCGGCCTCTTGAACAGCCTTGCGCTTGCTTCTTCGTACCATTACTTCATCAGTGTGTGAAGCATCACTCACTAGAGCCTCGTCATTTGGTTCTTGCTTCGATGTGGCAACACGGCGTGACCTAGAGCTCTTAGAAGAGGTGCCCACTTTTTCACTCTGCTCTTCAGCCCCATTCTCTTCCAACACATCCATAGGAGGAGCTACTTGCTTTGGTAGACGGGCCCTCTTCTTTTTATTAGTGCCACCATCGTCTTCAACAGTGCTAGTCTGAGTTTCTGTACCATCCTCTTGGGAGGCAGGTGGACGCTTCCCTCGGCCTTTCCGCGTGGTAGTTGGTGGAGGTGCGACTACCTCATTCTCAGGCTCAGTCTCGGCAGGCTCACAATTTTGATATTTTTTGCCCTGCTTGACAGCACGCTTTCTTTGAGCTTGCACTGGACTTTCAGTTGGTTCCTTTTCTGATGAAACCAGATTTTCTGCCAACAGTTCCACTGATGAACTTGGGACCTCCTCCTCAGGCACTTTCTTGGCTGCTTGCGTTCGCTTAGCTCTAGTTTTCTTCGGCTGTTGTTGCTCAGCCGTCTCCTGCTCCAAGACATTGGTGTCCAGCTTTCTTGAAGCAACGGTACGACTTGACCTGGTGCTTCTTACAGGCCTGGTAGAACCCTCTAATGCAACATTTAAATTGTTCGTATCTGTTGAAGTATCCTCTTCCTCATGAATTTTTCCAGATCCTGGCCTTCCCTTAGCTCCCGCAACATTTGAACACTTTGCTGTATCAAGCTCAGGGCATTCATTTGTGGCTTTTGAAACTGGTTTCCGCTTAACTTTGGATGAACTTGAAGTTGCTCCATTTTCCGACTTTGCAACACCTTGATCTGTGCTCTTTGGAGCTGGCACGCGGCGCGACCGGGCACTCCTGATAGTGGTCTCCTCCACAGCAACATCTGTTACACCTGGAGTTTCATGTTCTAACAGCAGCACTCCCCTCAGCTCTTGCTCAGATTCTTTATCTTGGTCATCCACACTGCTTGACACTGGCTTGCGCCTGGCCTTCCCAGCTTTCAACTTTGGAGTGTCTGTTTCACCCTCCATGACATCTTCATTAACCTTATTTGAGGCTGATGTCCGTTTAGACCTTGACCTGCTTGTTGTACCAACCACTTCGTGCTCCACTGCATTTAAGTGTTCGTCTTTTGAGGCTGGTGTGCCGCCAGTTCTGGCACTCTTATTCATGACAGAGCCCACAGTATCATCATCTGCATCATTTGAAGTCACGTCATCAGACTGCAACTGCACTGGTTCGTGCTGTGCGTCATCGTCCTCTTCTCTCACTTGGCCGGAGGCTTGCTTCTGTTTCATTTTTAAAACTTTTGAGGACTTCGGAGTACTAACTCTGACTTGTTTTTGTGCCTTTTTTGCCTTCCCCGATGATGGCGTTGGGTTATCAGACTCTGAGGTAGCTACAGAGTCTTTCAATGATGCCATTGTGCAGCTGGACCTACCCCTTGTAGGCCTGACAGCCTCTTCCACTGCAACATCATTAGTGTTTGAGACATACTTCGCTAATGGCTCGAGTGCTGTCTCCTGTCTAGACACATCTGCTTCTTCATGTATCCTGGCTGAACCTGGTGTGTGCTTAGCTCTCTTGATTGGAGAAACTGAAGACCTCTGCTTTGGGGTCATGGCATTTTGCTCCCCTACAAATGGCACTTGTTTATCAACTGAAAGACTTGTGCTAGGTGTAGCTTCTTTCTCCTGAGTTATCTTTTCATCTGTCTTCAATGCTGCCGTGCAGCTAGATCTAGCACTTCTTCGCCCAGAAAACTTTTCTGCTGTGACACCTTCTGAAGCAAGCTCTTTGGATGGGGAACTGCCAGCTGTCTCCTGTCCTGGGACCTTTTTCTCTGAATTAACATCACTTGGAGCTGGTGTCTGCTTAGCCCTTGAAGCTCTACGAGACTGCTGACTGTCAACCACATCTTGCTTTGGGGTGCCTACAACTTGTTGCTCGACAGTCGTTCTATTTGCATTGAGAGATCCTGGTGTGTGCTTCACTGTTGTATTCAATACAACTGGACTAAGTGAATTCTGCTGTAGTGTCCCGGCGCTTACTTCTTTTGAGACTGGCGTGTTGGTGTATCTCCCACGTCTTGCTTTAACAGAGCCCTCCAATGGAGCAGTTATGCTATCAGGCGTTGCAACTTGAGATAGAAATATGTCTTCAGTATCATGCTGCTGGGTTTTTTTGTTTGCACTGGTTGTAGCTTGTTTTCTTGTCAATTCAACAGCTCTGAGGGGCTTTGGAGTCTTCACCATATCTTGCTTTGTAGTTGCTGCATAAATGGAGGCTAGTGTGTGCACAGCTCTTGAAGGACCCTCAGTGCTTGCTGTAATAACTATGTCTTGCTCTAGCATGTCTGCATTTAGCTTTTCTGATGCAAGCGAGTGGCTCAATCTTGCACTTCTCCTCCTGACAGACTTGTCCGCAGAAAAACTGGCATTGTCTGAAGTTTCAAGAGCCCCAGATATTCTGCCTTTTGTCCTCTGTTCAGTTGCCTTTTCCTCTTGATTTGTTGGAGTTTTCTGAGCTGCTGAAGTTTTCGAGAACAACAAATCCTTATTGCTTACTGGCACATATTCCGTTGCCAAAATATTCACGGTCTCTGGTGTGTTCACAGCTCTTTCTTGAGGTACTTCTGCACTGGCTTTGTTTGAGACTGGTGTGCAACTGGTCCGCAAATCTTTTTTCCTGTTAGGCTCTACCATTGCGCAACTTGCGGTGACATGTTTGGATGGTGATGTGCTCCGCAACGCTGTTTCTAAAGGTTCCGTTTTATTATTCACTTTCTTGGAAGCAGGTGTACGCTTAGCTCTTGAAGAACTCAAAATGTTTGGTGTGCTGTCAATGGGCTCCTCCGGCAATTCAGTACTGACAGACTGTTCTAGATCATCATGCATACCATCTGAAGGTGACTTTGGGTCAGCAGCCTCATCATTTTTCTGCAACTTCTTTGATCCTGGTGTTCGCTTTGCTCCTGAAGTTCTGACAGACTGCTGATGTAGACTTTCCTGATTTGTAGACTTTGCTGGTGTAGACTTTCCTGCTGAAATATTCATTGCATCTGGCATGCGAGTAGATCTCCTTGTCTTTGCAGACTTGCCCACAGCGACATCCGAACATTCCAAGGTCAAATGATTTGATGGGGATGCCCATACTGCCTGCTGCTCAAAGTCTTCTACTTCTCCTGAGTGAACTGTTTCCTTAGGTCCCGAGGTGTTGAAGGCCACTGAAGTGTCCGCCCCACTATCATGCTTTTGACCCCCTCTGCTTGCTCTCTTCAAAGCTGGAGACTGCTTGACTTTTGAGACACTTGAGCTGTTTCGCCTGCCTACAGCCACCTGCTCAGGAGTGTCAAGATGGGTCACATTGGAGATAGGTGTGCAGCTGTATCTTGTGCTTCTTGACCCAAAGGACTTTTCCAAAGCAGCCTCCTCATCTGCTACAGTCTCTCCATTAGTTTTGTCAGCTGTGATTTGTTGTGGGTCCATTCCATCTATGATATCAAAGACCTGAGTTGATTTATTTATCTCAGGAGTCTTAACAATCTCCTCCTCAGGGAACTTTCCGCTCGGTTTCCTTGAAGCTGGCGTTTGTGAAGTCGACAGACGGCCAGATCTCCTTGCATAGGCAACAAGCTCTCCCATTGAAAAAAATGTGCCATTTGAACTTTCATCCTTAAATGGAGACATGCTTGCAGCACCTTGTTCTTTTTCATTCACATAGCTTGCAGCTGGTGTTCCTTTCTTGGTTCCACCAACATTCACAGATTTACGGGTGCCTGACATATTTTGCTTTGGGGTTTCTTCGTTAACCTTCTTTAAGGCCGGCGTCCGTTGAGACCTTGAAGCATTTAGTTTTGTAGGTGAGTCAACGTACTCAGGATCTCCTGCAGTCGCATTCATTGATGTGGAAGAACCACCAAACCCAGAGGCATTCCCCTGGGAAACGTACAAGTTGCCGGCACGGACCTGTGCTGGTAGTGATGTGTCCAGGGTTTCTCGCTCTGGGGCTTCCTTCACCTTCTTTGGAACTGAAGTTCGCTTAGTGCTCGAAACTTTCAGGGACTGCCGAGTAGCTACATCTCCTTGTTTTCTGGTCCCTTCATCTGACATTTTAAATGCAGATGTGCACTTCGTTTTTGAAGCATTCAGGGCAGGTTCTGTACCAGGCGTACTGCCATCTTGTACCTCGTAATTCACTTTTTTTGGCACTGGTGTGCGGCTGGACTTTGCATTTGTCGTGCTGGGTGAGCTCGTACGTCGTGACAGTGATGTGTCAACAGGCTCAAGCTCCCGCACCTCATTCTGTTCAGACATTCTTGTCGAAGCAGTGGACCGTCTTCTTGCAGAAATGTGTAGCAGGCTGGTAGATTCCTTTTGAGCTGAAGAATCAGTCATATCACAAACCATGCTGTTTTCTTTGGAGCTCATAGTACTGAAGTTAAATGATGATCGAGGAGTTTCAAACAACAACTCACAGCCTAAGGTGGTGTCATCCACAGTGTCGGAGGTCTTCTTCAACCCACCTGGTGACTCCTTCCCCTTGAAGCTTTGAAGTGCTACGCGAGAACTGCTACGGCTACTTAAAAAGGACAATTCTGGTGAGGCAGCATTAGAAGCTAGGTCACTGTCCTTTGGGTGAGAGTTGGAGTAAGCTGACCTGTTTTTCTGAGCCTGCCGCAGCAATGTGCAACTCTTTCGAGCACTGCCAGTTTCCATCCTACTTTTTCTTGTATTAGCACCTCCCACTGGAGTACTGGCAATAATCATTCCATTAGCAGCACTGGATGTCGCAAAACTGCGAGAAGTGCAGTCGTCAACAGAGATTTTGCTCGGTGATTTTTCTGGAACAGACTGTCCATTACAATCATCATGAATAGCCAAAGATATACCCTGTACATCTTCACAGCCATTCTGTCGTCTCAGTTTAGGTGACTGCTCCTCTGTGATAATCTGAGAGGTTCGACGCCGTTTTCCTAGACCCTCACTCAAACTTTTGAGTGATGCAGAGCGTCTATGCTCAGTGGGAGAATATGTCATGCTTGCCAGAGAACTTCTCGAGTCCAATGCTTTCATTCTTGGCTCATCTATTAAGGGTGTGGAATCTGATGAATCATACAGTTGGCCATTATCTGAAGATTCTGTAACTGGAGGAATGCCAGCATCATCATACTCCTGAACAGAGCTTGCATCATGTATTGATGAAGCAAGATTGTTTGAAAGAGAGCTTTTTCTTGTTGCTCTCAACATTTTTCGAGAACTGGAGATGTCTGACATATCACTCAAGGAATAGGATAAACCATCCCTCCAAGAAAGCCTCTTAGGCCGCGTTGAAGTTTCAACATTCCTTGCAGCTCCATGTGCTGCTGCACTCCTGGAGCGACTCTGTCTTTCACTTCTATCACCAGCATCACTTGAGTTGGTTGTAGACAGTGGTGACACAAACTCTTCTGGCGGAATGCAAGGGGTCTTGTAAAGTGATTGGTCAAAGGAGCAAGTTGTAGGTGTAGACATGCCAGGTGTAGACACGTCACGTGTAGAAACTCTAAGTCTAGGCATGCCAGGTGCAGACACGCCAGGTGTAGACACGCCAGGTGTAGACACGCCAGGTGTAGACACGCCAGGTGTAGACGCACCAGGTGTACTGTTCACCTGTTGAGCTGCTAGACCCTCTTCGCTTCCATGAGCTTTTGATGTTGAACTCTCTCTTGCACCTTCTGTAAATGCAAAAACATTCACAGATGTATGCTCTGGTTCAAACACATAGTGCCATAAACATATTTACATTACTGCCCTTTGCTTAATGAAATTCCAAGAAATGAGCAAATATAAAGGTGCTAAACTAAATTCTTTTTCATTTTTAAGGGATGGAGCTGCAGAACAACACATTTATGAAAAGCTCGAATCATTTTTATCACTTGTAATTCTTAGATGTGCGCCAAAATCGAAGTACACAGACATTTTGAACTTAACCCCCTCAAAATGCAGCCACTATGGCCAGCAAGATGAGATTGGACACAGTAAGCTAGAACTTTCACTCTAGCACAAAGCCACCCAATAAGAAACCACAATATGCCTGACAGGACGTAGTGGTGCGGCAATACCAAAAGCACCCATTTAAACGCCAATGTATAGGATACAGCTCAATTCAGGCAATTTACAATCACATAATTCATACACTAGCATCCTTCCCCAGTCGCATGATGTTGAATAAAGCCCATCAGTAATTTGGAACAGACAAAGGGTACATGGAATTAGGTACGGGCAGAAAAAAAAAGGAAAAAAAAACAAAGATGTGTAAGACATCGCTTGAAAAGAACATATCAAACTGCAAAGCAAAAATGAACATATGAAAAAATATTATTGACATTGCAATAATACTATGAACAATAATCATGGCATGTGCATCTGGAGAGCATAGCAATACTATGTAAGGACAAAAAGATATATTGCAATGCATATATACAGATACAATAAATATAAATCAGCGTATACATAAGTTAATGTAATAGCATGCAACACAACTTTAGTTGGAAATGATTTTGGTGTGACTAATTCTAGCATTGATATGTTGGGTGTCTATATGTTACTTGATATTTTTTCAGTGCAAGAGGGAAATATTCTGTTTTCTTTCTTGTGGAAGGGTATTCCACACGGCGACTCCTTTAGCTGTATCTGTTACCGTGAACGTTTCTTGTTTGCCAAGTGAGATAGTTTCCTTTTACTTTTTGCGGCTTTCATAACTGAAACATGAGAAATGTGATTAGCAAACTGGATAGCTAGTGTTAATACTATAATGGGCCATAAGTGCTGTTTTACAATATTACAATCTATTACCATGCTGAACGGCATGATATTTAGGTTTCTGAAGAGTGGTGTATAATCATTCTTACCATGATTTGCAGTAGCTATTTATGAATTAAAAATTGCAACTTTTAGTATTAGGCAGCACTTTTTTTTTTTTAAGAAACTTGAGATTTTTATATGCAATCAGCCACATGTACTGCTAACCTTGGTGCAGAAGACTGAGGCGCAAAAAACATATCGTGAAGCAGGAAGAGCAGGAGAGAAGACAGAACAGCGCCACAATATGTTTTTTGCGCCTCAGTCTTCCGCACCAAGTATGCACCAACTAGCCCAAAAACAAGTCCTTTTGGAGTACCGATAACCGAATAGGGACATTTTCTGCACAGGCTTCTGCACGAAATGGACATGCACAAGTTTAGTGAGTCGATGATTTTAGCCTCGAGGGGAAATTATTTTCAACACTTAATATAAAAGAATGCAAATGGCAACACCAAGGACGACTGCACTGCGACAAGTGACAAAAAGGCGGCAGTAAGGTGACCATTTTCTACTGCAAGACATGCAGTCCAAGTCCTAGCCTTCACCAATGGCAACTGCTCTAGGCATTACCATACGACACTCAAGTACTGTTAACCGCCAAGGATGCAGAAATTATCATCAAATAATAACCTTGAATGTGCTTTTTGCACCTCAGCTGGTTCAATACGAATTGCAGTCATAATTTCATTGAATCTATGCCCATTTGCCCGATAAAAAACACTTTAGGTTAAAAACATTTTATGAGTGGAACTGTAACAAAATAGTACTAACTGATCACCAACGTACTAGCTCAATGTCAACTACACAATGTGCATAACATTAAAGGCAATGTAACCACTGCTCTCCATGTGCATTTCCCAATATAATATATAGTCGAATACTGAAAGTTTTATACCAGTTTATCAAAACCCACCCTAAATAAAAAAATAATGATTGATTTGTGGGGTTTAACGTCTCAAAACCACCATATGATTATGAGAGACGCCGTAGTGGAGGGCTCCGGAAATTTTGACCACCTGGGGTTCGTCAACGTGCACCCAAATCTGAGTACACGGGCCCTAAATAAAAAAAAAATACTTTATAGTTTCCCAGCCTTAATATCACTAACCATTGCTATTTATTTATTGTGATGGACTTCAGTTCCCCTGATATCTATCACATGTGCCATTACTATGGCAACTAACGAGGTCGCCAGCAACACCAGCGTTCGCAGCAGGTTGAGTTTGTACACGTGCAGTAACAGTGGCATATGCTTCCAGTTTTAGTTTCTAACATGCCATAGCCGCTTTCACTGACTAGGAAATTCACATTTTCTGTAAAGTATTGTTGCCTACAACAACGCATTTTTGTCCTGAAGTTCGGTCGTTCCGCCGACAAATATCTGCTAACGTCAGCGGACCAGTGGGTGCATGGTGTTGTTCCTTCATCTGGTCGATCGCGTTTCACGAATGTCATGACCTAATGAGTAATATACATCATACACTCACTGTAGTTTAGGGTTAGGGTCTGTGTGCCTGGATCACTCAATTGATTGATGATGTGAACTACTGATGGCCAATGTGGCCTCCATTTTTTGCTGAAATCAGCACAACTGAAAAAATTTTGAGCTTAGTTGGGCATTTTGGCACAGCATGGCACAATTTCGGCAAATTTTATGACTTTGGCACAAGTCAGCACAAAAATGGGGAATTGTATCAAATTGGTGCAATTGGCACAGCTAAGCACCCCTGTATTTAGCATACAAATGGTTTGACTTTTAAAGACGATAGTCTTTCTTGGGGACAATCGGCGAAAAATATTTGGTCTGTCTGTCTGTCTACATTTGTCTGTTTGTCCGCCTTAACGATACCCCAAACCACACTATATGGCCAACCCCATTTGCAGCGCCCACCAATATTGCTCAAGGTTTAGCGTTCATAGTTGTGCAATTGTCAATTAAAAAGCAAATATTGCGCATATCTGAGGCGCCATAACAACACTTCGAAGTTTTGTATGTCTGCCTTTATATACTTCAAAGTTTTGTATGTCTGCCTTTATACTAAAAGAGGCACACGCAAGTAACTCTAAGAAATGTAGCGTTTATAGCGCTGCGCTGACAGTGCCACGCGATGCTCAAAAAGGTGTTTCCAACGTTTTGCTGCAACGTCACAAAGGTGGCACCTGCCCGTCGCTTTGCGTTCTACACCTTATCACCTTAGAGACTACACCTTATCACCTCCGAAAAACGAAGGCGCGCATCTTTCTCCACGAACTGCACGCTTTCGTTTTCGAAGATAACTGCAAGATGGCGCTTGTGTCTAACAGGCCTCGATGCGCTCGTTCGCCTCCGCTACACGCTCGAGGCACTCTAACGCAGCGTCTCCAGAATACCATTCACCGATTTTCTTGTGCAGAACATCAAATAAACGTTTTGTTCACTATCGTCTTTCAACTACATTTGCAGTGTAACATGCAGATTTGGAACCAATTTTTTTACGTCTGCTTCTCTATCTGCTTGCCACACAGTTGGCATAGCGCCAAGTTTACTACACGCTTTTAACAGACAACATAAGCGCACTGCACTGCCGTTTCCGGCGACCTCATGCGGGGATTATCTTTATGAGTGCGACACGGGTGCCAAGAAACCCCACCGCGCTGACTATCTCGTAAAACCAGTGTGTACAGCACTAAGTTACAAGTGAATGGTACTGGGTGATCACGCCTTGTCACACGTGCAACCGCGGTATTAGCACTGCCTGTGTTGGCCTGTTCTTTTTTTTTTAATATCAAAGCCCCCACTGTTGAAGAACTCCTGATAGTACACAGACTTGCGATTGTCGCCTGCGCCCCTCAGCGACTTGAGTGAAGCATAGTAAAGCACTTGCTGCTTTCTTCAGGCATCGCGCAGCATAAGTAAGCAGTTCAACGTGGAATGTTATAACCCTCATGAGTGTTATAACCCTCGTAACGCTACACTACTACTCTAAAAGTGCCTGTCAAATCCTTTGACACAATCTGTGAATTCAAATGTGGATCTCCTAAGCGGGCGACCTCGAAATTCAAGAGATTCGTAAAACCAAATAGTATGGGTGGCAAAAGAAAAAATAAAACTGACACACAGCTTTGTTTGTTTAATTAGGACTGCACAAATGCTATGCAGTGCTCTAAATGATTGCCAGTAACATTGTTAAATGTCAGAGATCATACTTCGATCCCGGATATATCGAACTCGAAGGGGATCGCACAATAGTATGATGTATCGAGAATTCCAAATACAAAATATGTGTATTTAAGGCCTAAATTGAAGCATTTCAGGCCTCAGAAATCGCTACAAGAGCTAACATAACAATTCGCTCACAGTATAATGAAAAACAAGGTGCGAACTGCAAGTTGTCGCACTTCGTTTCACATGAAAACAGTCTGCAAACTTTTTTTGCTTCTTGCACGCCGTCAAGTTCCAGTCATCCTAAATATCGTTGAAGCTTTTCAAATAACTAAATTTAGCTCCTTCGGCCACAGCGCTGATTGATGCTGAACGCCGATGCAAGCTTTGTAGCATGGCAAAAGGTTGGGTAGCGGTGGCAGCGAAGGCGTTAGCGCATTCATAATCGCACAGCTACACTTCCGCGGCACCGGCAACGGCAGCCAAAATCTCAGCATCGATGCAGTCAGAAACAGCTACATCGTCCCCTGTACCAAGTCGCTCACTGTCCAAGATGTGGCCAGAAACGCTGATAAGTGACAGAATTCACTTAGGCATCGTACGCCATTGTCAGCGGTCATAACGCACCCATTGTCGTCACCTAACCCGCAAGGAACATTTATAAGTGTTTAAACTTGACGTCGCTCCAAGAGCCAGTCATAATTTTTATCGCTACGTGTGGGTCAACGTACTCCCGAATGAGGATTTATCAGGAAAGAGGCGAGAAGTACACAAGACCACAAGGCGCAAAAGACAACGCCGTGCAAGCTGTGTACAATACCGAGTTCGTCAGAGTTCCCACAGTCGAAATGTTGGCACTATTGATGTCACTGTGGCTTTGTAGCTGGCAGCCACTGCTTTTAGCCACTTTGATGCAAAAAGCTAGAAAAAGCATAGCCTCCGAGACATGCGTTTTGAAACCGAAAACACTAAAAAACATCACAACTGCACAACAAAAAGGCCATGCTTTACAAGTTCGCGTGCCATTGAGCGCTAACAAACAAGGTAGGGAATGCGAACATTGGAATGAGATCGCAGAATCCCAGATGCACCGGTCCCGTACTTTTGCATGGGACCGGTGCATGTCTATCGCCGAGACAATACAATGCAAGAAAGAAAAATGTTTTATGAGCTATTGCTATGGCAACCAATGTGGTCGCCATTCATAGCACGTGGAGTTTGCTCAGATACGAAAAACGTGGCATACGGTTTTAGCTTTAGTTCCAAACATGCCATAGTGGCGTCTGCCGATGAGAAAACACGCATTTCCCGCGAAGCGTTGGTGGCTATGGCAACGCATTTATGTCAAGAAGTTGTATTGTCCTACTGATAGGTATCCACTATAGTTAGCAGACCAATGGGCGCACAGCATTATTTGATCTGGTTGACCTAATCTTGTATCCTAATCTTGTATCGTGGCTTGGCCGACGTAGCCTTCATTTCTCACCGAATTAGAGCTCCTGAGAAAATTTTGAAGCTGGTCCAACGTTTCAGCACAGCAAGCAGCAATTTTTGTGGTTCTGGTGCAGCTCGGCAGAAATGTGAGGAATTGTATCAAATTGGCGCAGCTGTTGCACCCCTGACTACACATTAAACTTGAAAGGAAAATATGCTACAGCATAGACTGCTTGTAACGTAAATTGCTGGAGTTGTGAGTACCTGCGCTATGACCAAAACAATATTTACCATTGGTAAATGGTGAAGAATGCATTCCTTCTTTCTTTTTCTTTTTCGACACCCACTCAAATCGAAACTGGCGAAAACCAACAGTAACAATATCGCCATGGTTCAAGAAGGCTTCGTTTGGAACATGTTCATCATTCTTGAGAACATCCTTTGTGCCAGAGACGTTGACGACATGAGCCTGCATAAAACATACAATTATGTGTTCATTAGTAACAAAGGTTTCCACATTATCTATATCGAACTGTGCACTCAAGTTGTAACCAAGCTCTGACTGCAATAGGTATGAAAAATATGCTCACGATTGCTGACATGGGAAATTCACATTAGCCAAATATGCACCTTCTCACTATACAAGCCATGTCCCAAGCAATGATTGATCAGTGGTGCTTTCACTGTAAACAAACATGGCACACACAAAAGGTGTGCAACCACACATTTGCATGAAATATGTCATACCAAACGACGAAAACGTATATGAAATCCTGTGAAATCCCAACTGCACTTCCTGCTTAAAAAAAAAAAAAGAATTCAACTGAGCTGAGGTCCATTAAAGTTCACTGTAAGTTGTAGCCAATACATGACGGTCTAAGAGACAGAGAGGTGTTTTGTGTCAAAATGCACATTATTTCATATTATCATTGTTCATCCACATGCAAATATGACAGAGATGAAATCAATCTAATTCATATACTTGCACGTGGTTTCAAGTCTACAAGACTGCATGCAAGCGAGAATCCCAAGTGAATATGAGTGTCTAGACCAAACAATATTCCAATGAAACCAGTCACAATAAATTAGGATTATATAAATAGAGGATCTGCGTGACTTATATTCAGCTCAACCCATGTAAGGTGTCGGGTCACATTGGCAAATCATTAACAGTAAGCAGATTACAAAGAATTTGATGTGATAAATATTTTTCATCTGTATTTAAAATTACCCTATCGATATATAAAAAATAGGCATGGGCAAATAGTAAGTTTGGGGTTCAAAACAACCAGATATTTGGTCACATATTTTCACACCACATAGTTCGAATAGCATATATATCACGCATGATTTAGAGAAATGTGCGTTTTTGTGAAAACCCAAAAAACTTGCAAAATATTTTTAAGAAATGGAGCTAAGAATGTGTGAATGTTAGTTTTTTTTTATTTGATGTGAAGTGGAAGCAACTTCGAACAGCACCAAGATATATATAGCAGCAGGGCACAAATTATAGCTCACACACTACTTTATGTTTTAAGAATTACAATGCTTAGCACAAATAGACTTGTATAACACGCTTTTAAGCTTGAAAAATAATTGAGGTGAAAGTGATATGCAGTACATTTAACCTTGAAGTCTGGCTTCGTGACAGTGCGAAATTGTCGCCCAGAATGGGTAGTTTCAAGACATAGCTCTACCACACTGCAGTGAAGTTACCTTTGCGGGGGTATCATGTGCTCTCAAATATACATGAACCGTCTTACAATACTTAAGTGCCACAAAAAATCCATTGTTGTCACCAATAACTGGGTTGCATGAAAAAAAAAAGACAATACAGAAGGATAACACGCTGTTGAAAGACAACTATATTAGAAAAAAACTAGAAATTTAAGTTACAAACCCCCCTCCCACAATCCCCTCCAGTTGATGGGGAAGCGGCAGTCGCATCTGTTAATGCAATTTCGGACATGCAGTTTGAGTAATCCAAATTAATTCAGAAACTCACAATGCCACACTGGATCTCCAAATCTAAAGTTCTCTGACATTGAGCTTCTCAACTAGAATTACACAACTTCATGTGAATGTTGCTTTCACTTCACTAAAGAAATGTCCTGGTCTTATGGGTCTTTGTTTTTAAGGAAAATAAATCTCGGGTACAGCTTTCCTATCACTGTGAAGAAGGCTACATAAAATAGCACCCAAGATCAAGAGGACGGTGTGCGATTCAGCTTTGCAGGATATGTTTTCTCAATCAAAGGGACACTAAATGCAAATAACAATTAATTTCAGAGTGAAAGCTCAATGCATGCCGTCTAAACCGGCAATATCATCAACAGCAGCGCCCTACTTACTGAGAAATTAAGCTAAATGTACTACACGACGGGCCCCTTAAGCGGGATATTATGGAAATGATCCCGTTGACGTGAGAGCGACCGACTACAACTTATCACTAGTAATAAAGCTAGCTGCAATAAAAAACAAACCTTACATCATAAAGAAAGAACCGTGCACCAAGAGCCATAATAAAATGCTACTTGTCTGTTTGCTTTATAGAAAAAAGAACCGCCGGGAGTTACTATAGGGAATGGCATGAGAGGTCCAAAAGTTCCATTTTCGCATGATTAAAATGGACAGGTGCTGCCATCTAGAGGGACCCAGTTGAACCAAGCACGCACGCCACCAAGGAAGCCATGGCAGAAAATTGTTCAATGGCCGTTGTTGCTGCTGTGGCTCCCGCGCAGTAAAGCTGGGCAACATTGCGCACGGTAACAGCGATGTGAGACAGACTTTCAGGCAGGGTTTTAAAGTGCGCTAACATGACGCAGACCACTAAAACGAGATTTTATTTCAAAATAAGCACTTCCTTGGCACAAAAGTATCACTACGAAATTTCTGGACTGCAATTTCAGCAATCAACATCGACTTCATGTTTGCCTTTAGTGTCCCTTTAAGGTAAATGAGTAGGCATTGCTTGCATGACTATGAAAATTTCTTCCAAAGTGAAGAAAAATTCCGAATGTCATGTAAACATTTCCAATACAAAATGTTTTGTACACAAACAAGTTATACATTAAATATTACGAGGTAAACCAAACTAAAAAATTCCTAAAGCGCACGTACACAAGGGCAGAGGAAGGTGATGAGCCTGCTGACAACACAAGCGCTCATATTCAACTGATATTTATTCACAAAATTGCATAAAAAGGACTTTCATGACGTCACAAGATTGTAATGGTGGTATCATGAGAACAAGCTCCAAAACTTTAATTAGAGGACAAAATAATCAAAGGTGAGCGGCCACCCTGGCTCCAGCTTATAGGTGCGGAGAATGCCTTGTGAAAGATTTTATATGGGAGATATGGACTATCTTGGTACCGTGACAGCACCAGTTCGTTGGAGCGATCACAGGTTCTACACGATCAATAATGGGGAGGTCTGCTCTAAGACTGTGTATGGAACCGAAATTGAAATTTGTCGCACAAGTCAGGAGTGTGAACTGGTGTCCGGAGTAGCACCTAATTATCAGGGTGGAAAAATAAAGCGCTGTGGTATACGTCTTGTCGATTTTTACGGTTTTGTTGTCTTCCCGCAGTGTTAAGTCTGGCGAGCTGGTGACAGTGGTGGAGGCGATGTACCTATTGTTCACAGGAGGATGCAGATGGAATAACAGGGGCACTCAAGAACGAGGCGTCATGAAGGGAAGATGGTGATGAGCCATAGACAAGGTAAAACGGCAAGTAGGCAGTTGTGCGTTGTACGGCGGTATTATATGCGAATGTTACGAATGGCAATATTGCGTTCTAGTTGGTATGGTATGGCTCAATGCACATGGCTATCATGTTGGAGAGAGTGCGATGAAATCGCTCAGTCAGCCCATTGGTTTGGGGGTGATAGCTGGAGGTTGTCTTGTGTCTGGTGCCGGAGGCTCTGAGCAATTCCTCCACGGTTTGTTAAAAGGCCTGTCCATGGTCACTAAGGATGACACGAGGAGCACCGTGATGCAAAATCAAGGCTTCAAGCATAAATGTAGCCACGTCAGAAGCGGAGGCCGAAGTCACGCAGGACATTTCACCGCAACATGTCAAGTGGTCAACAACTATCACTATCTATTGATGGCCAGCAAGAGTCGCGGGAAGAGGACCACATAGATCAATGTCGACTTCCAATGGTGCCGACGAACATATAAGTGGTTGCAACTCTCTGCTTTGAGGTAATGTCGGAAGCTTTCGGCGCTGACAAAGGTTGCAGGAGGCAACGTATTTTGCTGTGCTGGCGGAGAGACCAGGCCAGTAAAAATGACCTTTTTGCATTCGTACGTTTTCTGAAAACCGAAATGACCAGCAGTCATGTCATCGTAAAAGGACTTAAGGATATCGGCTCAAAGAGAACGAGGCAGAACAGGCACCCAGCAATGACTATCCGGGTGATGTGATGGTAAAGAACGCGGCTATCGAGCTTGAACTGCCTAAGCTGTCTCCGAAGGCAGTCATTTAGCAGTCGCAAATTCCCCCGAAAATGATCCATGAAATGTCTACAGCAAGTGTGAGCGAGTTGGTGCATTATGATAGAGCCGTGGTCATCAAAAGGAATCTTGTCAATCGTGGCTAAGGACGATTGATAGATTAATATGTGGGGTTTCACGTCCCGAAACCACCATATGATTATGAGAGACGCCGTAGTAGAGGGCTCCGGAAATTTCGACTACCCGGGGTTCTTTAACGTGCATCCAAATCTGAACACACGCACTTACAACATTTCCGCCTCCATTGGAAATGCAGCCGCCGTGGCTGGGATTCGATCCCGCAACCTGCGGGTCAGCAGCAGAGTACCTCAGCCCCTAGACAACAGCAGCAGGGCAACAAAACCGGAACTGAAGGTAGAGCTGACCCAAAGCAGTCATTTAGCGGTAAAAAAACTATTATTGTGATAGCAATTATATGGACACTCTCAGCTGGTTTTTGCTGTCGCCCCCATGTTCCATAAAAAGTCCGTATTGATAACATGCTCCCGTGCATCGTAACTTTTACTTGCAGGTAAGAGCACACGAGCTCTGTTCAAGCAGTGATCAAATGAGCCATCTCAATCGACCGAGAGCGCATAGATAACATCCCCCCACGCGTTAGAACTGCCATCGAATGCCCAAACAGAAAAGAAACCAGCCGTCTTGAACGAGCATGAAAAAACGTGCGCGGGTGGGGGAGACAACGCTCGAGTAGCAATGGTGCACTTCGATTTTAAAGGCGTGGTCGCGAATGCTGACGCGAGCATGCTATCTCGGCAAGCATTAGTGCGCTTTCAACGTGAAGAGACTGTGTGAAAAGAACTTCTCCCAATAGCGGCCGTATTTGCTTACATGAACGTTTAGGAGTTCCGCGATAATGAATCTAAAAGAGTTGACTGCCAGCTGTACTTTGTATAACATTAGAATTTGTTGCTATTGGATTCACTGCATTGCATTCAGTGCGTCAT